GAGAGAAATGGCTGGTGAGTGAGTGATCTTCCTTCCAACCCTTTCCATCTACCTCCTTTCTCTTTCCCACGACACAGCCAACGGCAGTGAGGAAAGAGGAAAGAGATGGGAATGGCCGCTCTCTCATTTGGAGCGGTGGGGAGTGAATAGGAGATCCAGGAGATGGGATTATGAGATCTACCTTCACCGGTCACTTCTTTCCCGTCTATATCCTCAAAATCCCAACATTTGGATCCGAAAGTCAGCTGCTTGGGAAAGAGAAAGAAGTGGATTAAAGGGAATCATTTTGGATGAGGAATAGATGTGATTGAAGATTCCAAATGCTTTAATTGGCTATCATTAAATCCTCAAAGAAGCATTTCCAAGAAGAAGTCTATCTTCATTCAAGATTAAATAGTTGGCAATGATGAAGACCTGAGGATACGAAAGGCAAATAATAATTCATTTTGGGTTTTTGATGGGTTTGTAGGTGAGGTTTCTTCCGTAAACGGTCTGTCCTAGAGATTAGGATGGATTGGAGAAAAGATGAAGTGATGGCCAGGCTTCTTCCTTGTCAAGCCTGGAATGAAGGGTTGGGAATCATTTAGGATATGAAAATAGCTGACCTAAGAGATAAGACTCCATTCATCTACTTCTTATTTCTAAGACTTTATGATTTCCAAAATAATTATAAAAGCTGTAAAAGAAGAAGTCCTAAAAGCTGTGACCAAAGGACCAGAAATTATTATCTTCTCCAAATTGAGGAATCTCATAGACACAGAGGAGCTACTAAAATAAGATTCAGAAGCTGAGGTACGAAGGAACAGAACGGATGCAATCATAAGAGCTGTCTATCTTTCCTGGAATTATCTTTTCATTCTATTTTGGTGAAGATTTGTAATCATTTTGCACGTCGTAAAAGCTAAAGAACTATGAATGAAAATTGTAGTCTAATGGATTCATAATGTATTTCTAGATGAGGTACAGCCTACATTCATTCGATTCCTTATCCAAATTAATGATTGATGACATAGAGAATTAGAAAGTGAAAGATGATAAGAAAGGAAAGGAATGGCATATCTTCTCTTTAGGAACTTTCATGTCATAATATTTCCCATGTCATCCAATATTTCATGTTTATAGGGATAGAATGGTATTAGGAAAATATGAAAATAGAATGATAAAATCCTTGAAAGATGGGAGTATTACAAACACCAAAAGGCAAGGAATAAATATTAACTCTTTTATTTGGGATTTAATGATTCATGAGATTTCTTTTATCTTACTTTTCTATTTCTAAGATTTTCTGGTAAGGAATTAATATGAAATGAAAAACAAAATTAAAAAGGTGATGAAAGGATGAAAATATTATAAGAAGAGAAAGATAAAAACCAAGAGACAGAAGTAAAAGGAAAGGGAAATAGATTAGAAAATGTGATTGCTTTCTTGTTGGGTCTCTTTTGGATGTCTTTCATTTGCTTTTATGACGTGTCAATGATAAAGAGAATTTGACCGGTGAATGCATCACCTCTGTGTCAATGATAGACAGGATAAAGGGATTTAGAATTATGACTCAAGATTTCAAAGATTACAGTAATAACAGGATATAGAGAGATAATATGATGAAAAAGATCCAGAATTTATTAGTGGCATCTCATCTCCAAATCCTGCGACTTCTTCGTTCTAATGCTTGGCAAATATTTGTGATTGAAGGACATCCATCATTTCACTTTTAATGAGAAGAAGATGGAAGTATTATCCCAAATAAAAGAGTTAATATGTATTCCCTTTCTTTTTGTGTTTATAATAATCCCATCTTTCAAGGATTTTATCATTCTACTTTCATATTTTAAACGTACTATCCTCACATTCTATTTTTCATGGCATTCTATTTTCAAGGATTTGATTCAAACGCACAAACACACAACCACACAAACACACAACAAGCACACAACCACACAAACACAAAACACACAGACAGACACAAACACACAAACACACAACTGCACAACCACACAAACGCAAACTCACACAAGGACAAACAGACACATTCATGAGCGCACAAACGCACAAACACAAACGCACAATCACACAACCCTGCAAACACGCAAGCGCAGAAACACACAAACGCACAAACACACAAATTGTGAATAGTGTTGAAACCGCAGGTGCAAAGAAGGACTTCAGACACATGCATTGCCGTTTGGCCCAAGACCCGTCTCACAACTGACGTTGAGAGGCAGAGACATAAAACAATCGAGCTCGCAGGAGGTCTGCGATTCGAAGGGTGTTTGGAATATTGCAGGTTTCTTGGAGGACAACACAACCACTGTTGTCGGGTATGTTGACGAATCCCTCGATTTTTGAGGTTGTCAGCCGTGTAGGGTTTGTCTCGTAAAGGCTTAGGTTCTTTGATTATTGGCGCCAAAGCCAAAAGTTATCACAACTCTCGCATTGTCTTCTTGGATAGCGCCCAGGCCGTCGGCGCTTTTTCTAATAGCCTTCCACACTCTCACTCTGCGAAAAGGCGCAGCTCAAAATAAGGGATTGCTACGCAATTCCCGGTTAGTCATTTGCTCACGATTGGGCAGTCATTCATCTCTAGAAATGGGTTTCACGGCCATTTGAGGTTTTCCAGGGTTCGCACGCTGGACAAGTTTAACTCACGAAGTTTCAACTCCAAACCTCTCACGGATGCATGAAGCATTTGAGCGAATTCGGGGCGAACGAATGTAAGAGAGTGGAAGGCTTTAAAGGGTTAACTTGGACATGCGCGCAAACGTCTTTTAGGGGGTTGTGCGCCTTTTTTAGCACATGGACACGAAATGGCCGTCAAACCATGGGCACGAGCAGAAATGACCGCGAAATTCCGAATATCCGAAAATTGGCCGCGAAAACCCCCACAGCTGGCCGCGAAATGTTTTTAACAAGCGAAAAATGCGAATTCCAAGGTTCACGAAAGTTCACGCAAGTTCACGCCAAAACACCGTAGTTTAGAGTCTTTTTCACGCAAGTTCACGCAAGTTCACCCCCCCCCCAAACCCCAAAAAAAAAACGAAAAAAAAACGAAAAACAAAATCGGGGGGCGCCAGTCCTAGAAATTTCATAAGTTCACGCCCAAAATCGGCCAACCGCAATCCCAGAGATGGCTTCTAAAACTTGAGAGCTTGAGGCGCAAGAGCCACGTGAACTTGCCGCCACGTGAACAAGCCATTGCGGACTAAGGGTGCGCTTGTGGGCATTCCGAAGAAGTGGAAATTGATTTCCACCCCGGCTTTCTTTATGTTTGGCTTCTTTTCGGGCTTTAGTGGAGGGACTTGGCTCCATTGACTGCAGGTAATCTTGCCAAGAACGTCGTTCCGGAACGCGCAGCGGCGGCGCGCGATCCCGTAAAAATCGTTTGCGCGTGTCCAGGACATGCGCGCAGGCTCTTGCAGGTCTGAACTGACCACCGGCTGACAGACTGCGTGGAGTTCTGTCAGGATTTCTTTCAGCCGTGAAATCACTAAATGGCCGCGAAACCGGGATTCCGGCCATGCACTTCCACAAGTGGACGTGGAATCCCGCAAGCGCAAAACTCGTGAGACGCCCAAATGCCTTGAAAGCCACTTTTTCAAGGTCGAGAGACGAATCGCCGCCCAATAGCGTGATCAACTGAATGTCAACACTGTCCCCTAGCATTCTGTGTCCCACCAGTGCAGAGAAAGATACGTCAAGGGGCTTCGTAGATCCGTTCTGAAAGTGTTTTCCTGCAATGGCCCTGTGACAAGGACTGGCGTCTTCTTGGGCAAGCCCGGCGCAACAAAACAAAACTCGAACACTTAGGGTTTCCCCTTCTCGTTGTGGGCCCCGTGAGTTCCCCTTGCTGCGCAAGCGAGCACGGTCAGTTATGTGTTCCCAACCCCTTGGCACATATAGGGGAACCCTTTGGAATCCCTCTTGGCAGATCGCACATGCTAACGGTGAACTGGCATTGACTGTGTGCGCAGCCATACACTCTGTAAGCGCAGCAAATCAGCTAACTAACCTGGATGTGTCTTGAGTTGCAACGGACCTTTTACCCAATGCGTCTTGAGCCATGTAATCACACGTTGAAGCCGGCGCATGCCCAGGGCAAAGCTGCCCTGAACTGCTTTTCCATGGGGCATCGGAATGCAAATGGGGCCCGCGCGCGGTCGCAAATATCACGAAACCAGCAATCGTGAGAACATTCAAAACAGCCCGACATACATTAGAGTCTCTTTTGCGAAGGCGAAAATTAGAGTCTTTTAGCCTCTCTTGGAAGCTCAGATTAACTGACGGTTGCTCGTGTCATCCCGCAGCAACGGAACTCCTCATGCGTCAAGCTTCCAAGTTCTTAGGTTCCCAAATAAAGCTGCAAATCAAATTGAGTATTGCCAGTTAATCTTAGCTTGCCAAGTCTTAGTTGCTGCCGGCAAGAGTAAACTTAGCATTGCCAACTCCGAAACTTAGCTTCCCAATGCAAAATTGTTCAGTCTTGGCAACACTACACTTAGGAGTGAGAGTGCTGGATCTAAGTTTCCGCTACGAGGAAGGGCGCAAAACCCACATAACCTAAGCTTGCGGCCTGAGGGGTGAGCCTGACAGGTGACAATGCGAGGAGCTGCGAGGGCGGAGAGGTTGCCATGAAGCTCGGTGACAGAACAGGCCCCCCCCGGGAGGCCATGGGAACCCCAGCATTTGGCGTCCTGTGAAACGCACGAGCCTGCAGTTGCACTTGGACGGCCATCTTCGTTCCCTCTTGCGGAATCACAGGCGCCTTGACCTCCACACATCAAGCGTGGCATTCACCTGGCTGAAACGCAGCGTGTTGAGCAAGAAGAGATGTTTGTGCTGAAAGCGCCAGCTCTCACAGCAACCGGTTTCTTCGTCGAATGTGTTACAGCAGCCCAAGAAAGCGAACCAAAGAAAGTGAGGCGCCTGAGCTGCAAGGTTTCGTGCTCAATCTGGAACCTTTTTGGGAACTGCCGGGTTTTTGTTGGAATGTCGCTCCAAGGTGCCAACGAGATGGTAATCCGTGCGGTCCCCGCCAGCATTGCGCAAGCACCAATCAGCGCATAGGTGCCAGGGTGGGCTTGCAACCTGCTGGCAATGCCAAGGCGTATGATGTTGCAAGGCCAGTTCTTTGAGAAAAGGTTCTTCGGAGCTAAGAAAACTGTTCATGCCCAGGTCATGGAACTTCTCTGCCGAGGTGCGCAACAAAGACAACTTCCGTTGTCTAGACTTGTTGGGATGGTGTCAAGCGTGCATGAAGCACGAAGGGATTGAGCAAAGCATCAATCGTGAGCAAACTGGTGAAAATCACAAACCTGCACGCTATGACGGGAAAGGCGCTCAAAACATAAATGTTCAGCTGCATCCTACGGATGCGTGAACGTGTAGCCAGCCTTCGGTCCTGAATGAAGCACGCTGGGTTAACACGTTAAAAAGATCAAAACACATACCGTGTACTGCTTGCACAAATTTGGCAGAGCGGCGGCAAGTTCTGGTGGCGAATGAGGTGGGTGTTCACCAGCCTTGGCGCCCATTTCTGTCAAGCAGGTCTTGAAGCTCAAGGCCTCCCGGTTCCCGGTTGCTCAGCCCCCGTTTCTTTTTTTTTCGGAAGCCGCTAAGAATGCCACCGCTTTTTTTTGCCACAGGGAAGCTGCCTTTGCTCCGGCTGGCCAAAGGACATTCAGCATATTCTAAGAAAAGGGTTAGGATTGAATCACAAAAGGGCAAGTGGAGAGATTGCGGCGGTTGCTTTTGTTATGGTCTCAAAAACATAGCACTTCCGCCGACCGACCTGAGCGCACCACTGCCCGATGATGCGGCCGAAGGCAGAGCCCGTGAGCAGCGACGGCACAAAGAGGCCCGAAGGAACTCCCACGCCGTAGTTCCAGCCTCTCCAAAACTCATAGCAATTCTGATCGTAAACAAGGCAAGCGTCGCAATCGTCATAAACACGGTGCAGAATCCTGACTGAGACTGCGGTGGGCCACCTCTCGAAACTGTACGGGCTTTGGGCAATAAATACAGCGTGTGCAACGCCTGCTGGCACGCTATCAATCAATCTGTGCAAAGGTCCAAGAGCAAAGCTTCCTCCCACTGAGTGGAGCTGCTTGAAAGTGCAGGAATTGAAAGCCCGTTATTGTTTGAGGTTGAATTGCAAGACTTAAAACGATGGCTGTTGCTCTGCCCATGCGAATAGGTTTTGGACGGTCTACCTCTCGCTCAGAGGTGCATCGCTGTCATCTGCTTCTTTCTCGCCGACATCAGGCTGGACCTCTTCGCCGCTATGAGGCTCAAAAGGAGTGGCTGCCCAAATTGAGTGGCTTCAGCCTCTTCGGGTAATCAAAGGAGTCTTCGTGGTCTGAAGAACACTGAACAAAATGGCGCTCTCTTGTAAACAAGTCCCTTACAACCGTTTCACCTTTCAGGGGTCCCTCGAGCCGCAGAAGCACGGCCCGGATGCAAAAACGTGCTTGTTTGTTCATGCAGTACATCTTCATATCTTCCGCCTCTTTCACCGAGCCGCAAGCAAAGATGAAGTTCATCACAGCGAAAAGTGAAAGATATCTGAGATCGTAGTCCTCCTGTGCCCATTGCGAGAAACAAGCAGCACTAATTCCCATGACGCAGGGCATTGGAGTTGCGCTATAACCAATGGAAATCAATGCAAGCTCTTACGTTAAATTAGGTGTGCGTAAGCATCAGGAAACATCCCGAAGCACCATTTGAGGGTTTTTCTGAATGTCTTTTCCCGGCCTGTTTCGCTTTGACGCTTCCGCCGCGCTTCTGCGACAAAACGCATTATCGAAACACGTCGGCCTTGTCACCAAATGACGTGTTCTCAGCCCAAGTGGCTGCACATGGTGGTTCTCCAAGTGTTGAACAAGTGTAGTACGCGAAGTGCAAGTCCGCCGCTCCGGTTCGAAATTCACAGCCTTGTAGCACAAGCGCAGTACGCGAAGTACAACTCCGCAGCTCCAGCTCGAAAATCGCAACTTTGTGGTACAAGTGTAGCACGCGAAGTACAATTCCACAGCTCCAGCTCGAAAAACAACTTTGTAGTCTAAGCGCAGTCCACTTCGCAGCAAAAAGGCCGGGTAGGTGGATAAAACGTTCCAAAACTGAAGACAGGCAGTGCAGCGAACACAGGCTCCGTCTGGGTCAGCTTTCTGCCGGCATACAGCGGAGTAAGGGTATCTTCATCCTGTGCGCGTTTTCGCGTTTTAAACCGATTAAGACTGTCAGTCCTGGTAAGCCGGAATCAGAAAGTTTAAGCTAAGGAATGACAGCCTGTAGGGCGTCACGTCAATTTCAATCTTGATGGAGTTCTCGGCACAAGAGCAGAAATGGTTGTTTCCCAATCTCTCACCCGTCAAGAGATGCTCCAATGTCTGGGCGGACCAGCTGACCCAGTTGGACTTTGATGGTTTTGACCCTACTGTGTTCTCGATGGCTTTACTCCAAAATGGAGTTGCCCTCCCTCGCGCTTGGGGAGTTCCACGGCTGCGATTCGCCTCGCGGGCCGTGCGTACAAGGACCAGCGTAAGCCAAGCCACCTCCGCACATCGAGGCATCAACTATGGTCTTTGTCCGGGTTGGGAAATGAACAGAACCACCCACCTATGGCCGCTCTGGTGGGGGGATTCTCCTGCATCACTGCGGGCACCATCTCCAGTCGCACAAGGAAGCGGATTTCTGTTCCCACGCGAAGGAGGGAGATGTGGGGGCAAGGCTGGAAATGCCTTGGCCACCCGTTGCAGCAACCCCTAAAGGGAGGTCGCCTGCTGCCTCGTGTGGAGTTCTCCCAACTGCAAGTTGGTCAGCGCCGGGCGTAGCTTTTCCATTTTGTCCGGTGGGAGCCACGAGGCCTGATTGGAACCAAAAATGGACCTCGCTGGAAGATCTCGCAGAACCCCTCCCTACCCACAAGCAGGTCTTGCCAAACCCAAATAACTTGGACCTGGAAGCTGCTCACGCTCAGCCTTCTTGCTCAGGACCGTCTTCCGTCGCCTTGACCGCGCCCCTTCGTTTCCTGCGCCTGTCGGGCGTCTTCTTCTTGTAGCTATCAGGTTCCAGATGTCCTTCACGCTGAGCTTGTCACCGTAGCAGTTCATGCGCAAGTCTGCAGGTTGAGCCTCAATGGAGGGGCTGCCTGAGGGCAGCCCATCTGTTCCACAATGTGCAGCTGTTTTCTGTCTGCGAAGACAGTGTTGGTCTTCGTCATAGCATCTGTGAACTGAAACTCCTGCCGGGTATCGGTTTGACCCTACCCCGGCTTCTCACCTTCACGTCCAGAACGATTGGCATCCTCAAAGGCTGGACCGCCCAGTGTGTCATGGAAATCCCAGGCCTGTTTTCCACAAGTCCAAAATGAGCATCATCATTGCCAGGCAGAAGGCGAGGAGAGACCAAAGACCTCCTTGAAATGTGGCGCGCAGATGCGAAGGAGCCTTTTGATTGTGGGCTCCACACCTTGGCACCGCGAAATTCCCGCCGTCTTGCTGTCAAACAGCTTCGTGGCAAATGGCTACCAAGCGGTAGGGCCCCTTCTTCCATCAAGAGCCTGGAGCACTCACACACACATATCCGTGTCCCGCAGATCCGCCTTCGTCAAGTTTGGCACCCTGCGCAGGATGGGCTTCTGTGCAGGCAGCGAAAGCGACCTTTCTCCACGAGGTGCCTTGTCATCCGCTCGCACCAGTTCATCCGCCCTGTCGAGCTCCACCTTGCACCATTCCACCTTTCCTCCATTCGCTTCCTGTTGAGAGTCCATTGCCGCATACATGGCGTATTCCATCTTGAAAAATCAAAGCCGGGACCGCGCCGGGTAGCCACAGGACCAAGGGGCGGGTTAGCACTTGAGCCAAAATGGCCCCGATGAAAACCTTCCGAGAAAGCACCATGCAGTGCAGGCTGCAGCAAGTGGAACTAGGCCCTAAGACATCCCTGTTTCATCAAACAAGCTTGGCCAACACGAGAAGCACAAGTGCAGTACGCGAAGTACACTTACGCAGCTCCAGCTCGGAAATTGCAGCGCTGTAGTACAAGTGTGGCGCGCAAAGTACACTTCCGCAGCTCCAGCTCGAGAATCGCAACTTTGTGGTTAAGTGTGCCACAAGGATCTTCAGAAGGACTCCCAACTACAAAGCTTCTGCAAGGCTTCCGCTCTGCAGGCAAAAACAAACACGTTACATATCGGCATGAAAGCGTGGGATCTAAACACGTGCTACGTTTTAGTCATAAGCTTCCGACTCGAACCCTGCACAAATCGCCCAAAAAAAGCGAACCTCATTCCAAAAAACAGGGCTTTAGAACGACTCTCCTTTGGGTATGTCGAACATTGGTAGTCATCAAAACGGTTGTTGGCGTCATGCTGGCTTGATCTCAACCTGGACCGAAACGGGGAGCTTTGGTTTCATTTACAGTCGACTAGACTTACTCTCGGCAGCAACAAGTCACACAACACATTTGCCGTCACCCATCCACCAAACTTTCGACGAGCGCAACTAATCGAACTTACGACTTTGTATCCTGGCCATGGAAGAGGGACTTCATGGACTTTGTGCCTCGGAGGCCGTGCTCCGCGCTCACCAGCATGCGACATGGAGATGGGTGGCACTCTCCGGGAGCCCAAAGATTGAATGGCGGCACACCGCAAAAGGTTCCCCCGTTTTTGGCAACTCCCAGAGCGCTAAGTGAAGAGCAGCATCTTCTGCCGGTCTGGGTAAATATGTTAGCTTCTCCAGAATGATTGCGAGACTGAACTTCACTCATGCCTGCACCTGCAATGGAAAAACAAGTCGCTAGTCCGATAGTCGGTCAGGTAAGCATCCTTCAACCGGCACTTTCAAAGCTTGCCAAAAGCCATGCGCAAAGCTCCGGGCACCGACATGCAGCACCTAAAATCAAACCGGATGGTCCACTCCATTGTCTTGCGCTTCAGGCCAACTAGAACCAAAAGGGTTGGAAAGGAAACCAAACATTAGCGCCGTGGACCTTCCAACAAGTCCGACGGAATTGGTGCTGGCAAGGCGCCGGTATCCCAATAGAGTGCCAAGGTGTCCGGAAGCTCCTCAATCCTAGACTGCCATGAAATCAAGTCCCCCATCTGAGAACAGGATGGAGCGCCCACCTTTTTGGGGTTTCTCAAAGGCTGGAGATACACAAAAAAAAGGCTGGCTGAACACATGGCGCAACCCTAACTTGATGGGGCGCGCGCTGCGTGCCACACAACGGCTGTCTCTGTTGTCTTGTAGCCCCCGCGCAAGCTGTTGTTTCAGGGCTAAGTTTACCGGCTGGGGTTTCCTGTGGCAACCCGGCAAATGTACTGAGCATGGAGCCCAAATGGCCAACCAGCAATTCAAGTCCGTCCATCAGATTTCCTCCATGTGGTGACATCACAGCGCATTTCAGACACGATCGCCCAACCTTCACTGTTTATTCACATCGAATTCAAACGCGGCATTTGGCCCTGCGGTGATGTTGGGGATGCGAAAAGGATGATATCGGTCAGCCCCAGCATCATTGGTGCTTTAGTGAAGGGATGGTCCTTTTGCGCCTGCTTTGGCAAAACTATCTTCAACATATCATACATACATCACGTATAATATACACACAATATGCGTACATTATATAAAGACCATTAACGCACCATTGGGAGTTGCGCAAGCTCAACCGAAGTCAAAACACACACAAACACGTCGTTATCGCATTTGAAACTCTACCGAGCCACGTCTGACCAACAAGCTGGCCACTAGCACTATATCATGAAGATACTTGGCGATCAACTGACTCGTGGCCCCGCACCTGAATCTGACGGGTTAAGTGTTCAAGGAACAACGTGCCATCTTGGACAGATTACATTCCACTCCAATGCATGCAAGTGTCATCAATGGACCGCCGTCTGTAGCCAGGACAGGAACCTCAGTATGTTTCGTCTCAATGTTCACGGCCACTTGAAATTCAGGAGTCATGAAGCAACACATCAAGTGTGCGCGAGTGGTCGTGTTTGACCTTCAAGTGAGCTCGCCACGGAACCATGGCAACCAAATCACTGGAAAGAGGCTTTTAAAAGTAGGACCGTTGTGGCTGAAAGAGATCCAGCCGTGCTCGGACAAGAAGCTAAGAAGTTGAAGGATGCAATGACAAAGGTCACAAACAGCACCTCGGGCTGCGCCAAACACATTGCGCCTCGCAAGTCACAGCTAAAAGGCGGCAAGAACAAAAGGCCAAGATTCTTTGCTTTCACTTCTTGTCATGCTTCTGGTAAACAAAGCTGACCACGCTTGCCGTATTTACCTCTGTCCGAGATCAAAGCTAGAACAGCGATTCAATTTAACGACTGTTCCGCAAACAACAATTGCTCATGGTATCAACGTGCCTCGAGCATATCGTCGATTGTGGCGCACACATGCCCATGACAAACACATGTTGCAATAACAGCTTGTCCCTTTGGCCGACATGTTTCTCGGGAATCAAGACTGAATGCCAGTCGCGCTGCTCGGAGGTTAAGGCTAGCAATAGGCCTCTCGGCCCCACCCTCTTCTCCCCTGTCAATTCAATGCTTGCAGAATGTTGAGATTTCAACTTCACTTCACGTCTGGTCCCGTCGATTTGAGAAGGGCTATGCCCACCCAGGCCCGGCGGCGATTCTGTTAATGGCTGCTTCTCGTTTGCCACACGTCGTTCCTGCCTCCAAAAACCGCCGGTGACCCCTGGGGCCAACTTGTCGCTGCCGCCAAAGGCTCAGGCGCCTGAGGGGCAGTTGGTTGGGGTATTCCTTGGGCGTTATCTCTTTCACAGTCCAATGGTTGAACTGGTTGGGGCTGTGCCTATTGAAGGACCCCAAAGATGAAACCAAGCGCATTTCGAGGGGCCACGCCACAAACAAATTGAGACAATGCGAAAAGACTGCTCTGGTCACATTGAATCTAGCTGGGCCGAACAGTGCTGAAATGTGGGCGACCCTTCCGTGATCACCCAACTGGCAAACAGAGCAACCGTATCAGGAGCGAGCAACATGACCTTCAAAGTCCTTCATGTTTGCCTTCGTGCGCCTTCGTTTATCAAGGTTGGTCGGGGATCTCAAGCCCGCCCCTCCTTCCATTGGCCCTGAACCATGAGCAGACCCAAGGATGAGCCTATGAAACATTCTCCTGATGGGTTTTGCAGGGTTCCTGAACCCGCCTGCAACAAAGGATTCATAAGCTGGACGTGCTCATCAGCTCAGCGACAAATGTAACACATTTGAAGGCCATGACCGCCTGCGACCATTTCATGCTCAAACTGAACAATGCTCATCTCGCGATTTGTTCTAAGCCGCGGCGCTTGTTCAGGCAGTTAAAGAGAGCGCCGAGCAGTCCACCTCCGATGGCCATGAGGCCAAAGATGGCAAACTCCTGGCGAGTGAGGAGGCCAGTCACACCGAGAGAAAACTGTGGCATCCACAAACCACACACAACGCAACGCTGAATCCTTTTCAGGTTCAATCTCAAGTAAGCAAGTTTAACTACATTGATATTAGTTTGCAAACACCTTATGTCTGCCGGTGCATGAAGGCAACCACACATACAATTGCAACCAAGCAAAAACGTCCAATGCCGTGTTGTAATGAGTAGCAAACGGCATTTGCCCGTGAAATCCGGCGTCTGTGTTCCTTGGTAGGTGAGAAACAGAAGCAAAAAGTCTGAGGATTCGTCCAGCCGTCAGATTGGCAACCACCAGTAGAAGGGAGCAGCATTTCAGCAACTGCATGCTCCCGCCCCATTCCGTCCAAAATGTAGTAGTCCATATTGGCAAAGCGCCCGAAGCTCACAGGCACCCGCCAGCCTCGGAAATTAATGGGAAGTGAAGCTTACCGCAAGCAGGGCGCTTTGCACCTACCCCATCAGTTTCTGGGGACCACCAGATCTGGAGTCGCTTAAACAATGATGAGCAGATTCAGCACACAACCGTTTGCCAGCTCGCGCACGGTTGCTTCCTGGTAGCTTTCGAAGGTTGCACTGACCTCGAACCCTTGTTGCGTTTGTTGCGCTTGTGTTTTGAACGGAACTGAGCCCCTCGCCCAGCAGGCCAACAGGCAGGCCCTCCTTGGGCCCCGCCCAGAGCCGGGAGACCAACGTGGCCACGCTGCTGGCCACAAAGAGACGCATCCTAAGAAGTGGAGGGTCCTAAGACCGGATGTTCCTTTTTGATCCGGGCACTCTGCCATGCACCAGGGAAATGTGCGCAAGTTATACAAAACAACTCCCGTGTTAAAACTCCAGACACGCGCGGGAAAATTCAAAAAAAAGAAGTCAAACAAGTCACCAAACAGGGCCGTGTCAAAACTTGTGTCAAAACTCCCCCGTGTCAAAGAGTTTCCGTGTCAAAAAAAAATGTGTCAAAACTGTGTCAAAACTTTCTTGTGACTATAGCCCATATGCAGTAGGTTGTGAAAAGTCTTGACACGGCAGTTCTGCCAAAGTTTTGAAACAAGTTATGACACACGGAGTTTTGACACAAGTTTTGAAACGGGCCTGTTTGGTGACTTGTTTGACTTGATTTGCATTTCCCGCGCGGGTCGGGAGCTTTGGCACAAGTTTTGACACGGCCCTGTGTGTGTCGAGGGGCTCGGTCTCCGATATGTTTTGGAGACTTGAAGCGTTCGTAAAGGGGCTACGTTTCCGTTACGCTTTGGTAGTTTCCAAAACTGGCCGTGTCGAAACTTGTGTCAAATGTGTGTTTTTTTGGATTGTTTCGGGATTGTGGGCCGCACGTGTGATTAGTGAGATCATGCCTGCGGCAGTCCACGCAACTGGGAAAAGGGAACGCGCTTGCCCCACACGTCACACGCCCTAATAAATGTGGGACCTGCTTTAATCGGTCCCCTCCTCAAACAGCACCAGCACCTCTTTAGTCGGAAATTGGGGGTGGGGTTGGGCTGATGTTGTCTTGCCAATATCAAACTCAGTATTGCCAACACAGATTCAAGTCGTTCATTTAGTATTACTACGACTTGTTCAATACTGACAAGGCTTAATCTTATATTCCCAGTATTGAATTTAATATTGCCAAGGCTTTATCTTATATTTCCAGTCCTTCATTTAGTATTCCCACTTAATCTTAAATTTCCTGTACTTAATTTAGTACTGGCAACGTGTCTTTATTGCCTAGATCTCAGGCCTTTAGCCTCTAAGCTGGGAAGAGCTTAGGTGAGCCAGGTTAGGGCTTTGATCTGGAAGTTTCACCCCCGCCAAAAAGAGCTTGCCATTAAAAAGGACCACAAAGCTGTCAAATTCAAGAGGATCAGGACCTCCTGCAGCCTGTGGGCGACCCTTATGTGATGGCTTGGCATTTTGTTAATGGTGTACAAAAACAAATGATGGCTTGTTTCCTAGATTTAAGGCCTTTAGCCTCAGAGCCAAACAAAACAACAACAAAGTGACACTGACAAGAACTCACACAAGTCGGATTGAAGATGGTCGGGGACTCCTGTGGGCAACCCCCTGCTTGTGACTGTTTGGCCTTGTTGCTTTTTGCAATCAGGGATTTATATAAAGATTGATAGTTTTGGGACCACGTGCGAAACTGGATTTTCTACATCTAACGCTTCCAAGGGGTGTTTCCAAAAAATGAAATCACGTTGTTTACATGTTTTGGAGTGGGCCCAAAAAACTTGCCTTAATAGAGGACCCCAAGCAACAAACTGTCTACAACATGTTTGATCGTGGCTCCTAAAGCTAACCTTCGCAGCACCACTGGAAACACTTTCACAAAAAAAAAAAGCAGCTATCGTCGTCACATATTTCGCCGTCACTTGAAGAGCAGTAAGGTCCAATGGTGCAAAGCCTCCCAGAACCTACTTTGCAAACTTGTTTTATTTGACTGTCTGAATATCAAGCCTGCTTTAGAGGCCACTTTAAAAGAGCCCGCGAACTAGCATAAGGGGGACATATATCTGAGTGAAGGGCACACGCAAGGCAAACCTAGAAGCTCGGCAACACCTTGAGCTAGAACAAATGTGCTGTTTTGTGACCATCAAAAATAAAACCCACTTTTTCAAGACCACAAGGATGCGGATAGCCAACAATGGGTCCTTAACAGCGCTCACGAAATAGCATACTTGGGAAGACATTCACTCCCTTTGCTTTTGCCATCGAATTGGTGAGGGGCAAAGGCAACTTCGCAGGACCCCAAAAGCTTTTTGTTGGCCGTCATTGGGAGGCATGTTGATCATTTGTAACAAAGCATGAAAATAAGCAGTTCGCTCTCCGAAGACAGTGGTTTAGCCTGTGACCTTTGCTTTTGGCAGCGAATTGGTCTGCCCAGGGACCCTCGCCGCACGAGGTCAACGCTCAAGATCCCCCATCTTAATTTCATCACACGAACTCCCCACAAATCGAATACGGCCAACAGCCGCAGCTATAACTTTAGTATGTGTCGATTGAGGCTGGGCGCGGCCTCTCTCAAAAAGCTTCCGTTAAACAGGAACCAGACTGGAGGCCTGTTTTTTCACACCCCAGCGGCGCATATTGGCGTTCCAAAGCTGCTCCCGTTTGGTCCAGGATGGCATGATATAGAATCTACATTCAACGAGCAATCCCAAGCCAAGGCAGGAATCACGACTCTTCAGTCCGCCTCAGAGGAAAAACAAGGGCGTTTTCCAGACAAGTCCAAATTCACCCTGCGTTTGGTTGGTCCTAAAAAACGCAGATACAATCTGAGCTCGTAAGAAGATCCTAAGCCATTGCTACCAACCTGTTGCTGTATGTCTCCTAAAAGGTCACAGGCTGTTAAGCGGAAGCTGTGTCATACAATTTATCATCTCTGGCTCACGCTTGGCAGTGAAGTGAACGGGAGAATTAGGACAGCATTGTTTTATGCAAAAAATGTCAAACCCCAATGTTTGTTTCTGCATAGTGGCAGTTCCATGCTTGAAAATCTGGCATATCGTCTTGCAATGATGCCATTTGTCTATACATTGAGTCCAAGCGGGTCGTTTGCGTGCTCCCCTCATCACAAAAACTCTTCTAGCAAATTCATCTTTGTTGGGATGGACATGGTGGCTCTCCAGATGCTTTTTGCCGGCATTTGCAACCAACATTGGCCAAGCGTCAACCTGTGTGCACTCATGTGTGTTCGTGCGCGAGCAAGCCGTTCATAACAACGGAAAAAACATGCCTGCCAGTTTCCTCCTAAAACGGGCGGCCCCTGTTTGTTGTTGTCGGTTGAAGGAAAAGGGGCTGCCCTGTTATATGGCACGGCAACCAGTGCAAAGGATCCAAGAGCCGAAGCCCACAGTCCTGAACCAAATATGCTGTGTGCAATGCAGGCAGGTCGCATGATCCGTGGATTCCTGAGATCGATTCAAAAAAGCGAAGTCGAAAGCGATCCCCGAACAAAACCCGCCCCCCTGAGTAAATAACAATAGATATAAAGAGATATCACTCCAACTTGATGTAACAAAGCCTCTATCTTTGTAAAAAAACGTGGAGGTGAAAAACATAAATGGCCGTCAGCTCAAAGTGACCAAGGACGACTGGTGATTTACTTCCTTTGGCTGCGTTCTAGGGCTATTGGAACCTGAAACGCTGGATTTCGCGCAAGCCTACGAATACAGCCAGAATACTACACGAACAAGCAACTGAGAGGGCTTTTTATGCCAAATCCAACTGTCAGACCCCCACACCCAAGCTTCACTGGTCAGCAGGGCTGGCCAGTCCCGCCGCGTCACATGGGACAAGGGGTGCCCAAAAGACCTGGAAAGGTGAATCTTTACAATAACGGTCAGGCCAAGACTCACCAAAAAAAGAACAAATTTCTGCATCCGGCAACCAAAACCTGCGCATGCTAGCTCCCGATTCGCGGCTGACAATCGGCACAAGCCAAAAGACATGTATTGTTGAAACAGTGTAGGTAAGTTTCAGCAACACACACATGTTTAGAGACTGGGGCACTGTGGTAGTGCACTTGCTTGGTGATTTTGATGTTTAATATCTTGAGCAAGCTGTACGCGTGCTTTGCTGGCGAGTGTTTGTAACTGCGAGATCTAGGGCCCTCTACATGGATTTCTTCAACATGCTGGTAGTTGATGCTGCTCATTCAACCCAAGGTAGATGCGTTTGTCTTAGCATGTTGTTCTTTCATTCCTGTATGGCATTATAATTGAACTAGAATTCAAATAGAATCCAGTACGGGAAGGCAAGCTGGTCGTTTCTCTCAATTTGTCTGCCCCTTTTAAGGAATGAACAATCAATAGAAACTCATGGAGAGTGCGTGTTCAGTGCTATTGGTTTGCAAGATGTTTGAACGCGTTAAGCTTACAACATGGTTTAATTGTAACTCAATTTCACATGTAATTCGAAGTAGAATTTGAACCGGAGTTCCTCTCCAGGTAGGGTGTTATTCAGGATATAAATGGAATCTACTAAGGAAAGACAAGTTGGAAGTTTCTATTGTTCAAGCCCCTTAAAAGGAGTGACAAACTCGCAAAACAAATGGAAAATGACATGTCCATTCCACTTGGCTTGCAAGTTTCACATTGCACAGCTTTAAGCTTTTTAAGCGGGATTTTGAACGGGATTCAAATTGAAGTGTTGTGATAAACTAGATTCTAGATTCCAATAGTACACCCATTCCAAGTAGGGTTCCAATTAGAACTAACAATTAGCCCTCTTACCTTTGTTGATGCTTTAAATAGGAATTCCTTTTCAAATATGAACTCAAATAGAATTTAATCAGAATGTGTATGTTGAATGGGAGTTTAAATAGGACGTCGTTCCAATCCAAAATAGGACTTCCTTCCAAGCAATATCATTAGATTAGAGTTCAATTACAAGCTAACAAGTATCTAGTACGGAAAAAGCAGCTGGTTTTCTTTTTGAATTCTTACTTTGAATCAGACTTTAAACGGGAATTAGTGTCCGAGTATCTAGGATCTGAATTAGATGTTACTTAGGATGTAAATAGACAAGCTGGTTCAGCTTGTCCGCCCTTGGAGGAGAACACCTAAGTCGCACATTACCACTCGAGAACACTAAAAGAGAAACACAACGTGAAATCACGAAGACTCGAGAAAATCCGCCAAACAAACCATGTTGCCAGAATTCTTGCAGCATGACTTTCTTTTCAAAGCGTTCCAATAATCATGTGCTTGTTACTTTCTCGAGGCTTTGTGCTTCAGATGTTCTACGAGTCTTGCTTGTTTTTCTCTTATCTGTTTTGGTTCTGCTTGGGCTTGTCAAAATGCTTCCCCTGCATTGGCTGGAGTTTGGCAATTGACCAGCTTGACCCATGAGAAGACTGCAAGCCTCAAACGCGCGCAAAGCGCACGTTCCCTTCAGGCCTCATCCACGTTCAGAGCCAAGGTTTCCAACTGGAGGTGAGACATTATCACAGGCACGAAACTTGCAATGAAAAACCCGTCATGCAACAAACATGTTGCTCCACTTGTGCTTCCCTGTTTTTTGTCGAATCACCCGCATCTTTCTTGTTCTTGGCAGCCAATACAAGAATGAGAAGTGCAACATCAAATTGTTGCTACTGGATCGCTGGAGATTGGCAAATCTCATTCCGCGAAACCTACGGTTTTGACGGTCTTGACTCTTGACATTTTCGCCATTGCGTAAACCGGACCGCGTCTCACTTTTGTTCCAACATGTTATGCAATTTCCAAGGCTGAAGATCACAAGTGGGTTTGTACCGAAATAGGGACACCCAAGCCACAACAAATGTTTTGCTTTTGCACCTCGACAAAGCTACCCTCAACAGAAAACAGCATGGGGTTCATGTGCGCCAATTGAACTTGGCAAGTTCAAAATCCAAAAATAGCAAAGTCAAAGCGCGCGGAGATGGGTTAAACGTTCCAAGTCGGCTCCGAGCAAGTAGTGTTTGAGCAAGTAGTCCGAGCCGCATGTGGGAGGTGCCCTCCTCGATGGCAAAGAGCACCGAGCCCAGCGGCGCGCCGAAGGCGGCCGCCACCCCGGAGGCCGCACCCGCCGCCACCAGGTCCCGCACCTCCTTGCCAACCGGGAAACGAGAAAAAAACGAGAAGAAACGACAAGAAATGGTAAAACAAAAAGATAGAGAACGATAGAAATGAGATTGAAATAACTTGCAAAGAGCAAGTTGGACTCATAACAAATCACAAAAATACATGGCCCTTAGCAATCAAACTGCTGGCCAAAGTCTTGGTTGCAGGTATGAACAAAAGCGATGATCTTTGGTCATGGCCAATCTAAGGTGGCACTCCGCATGGCTCTAGCTTCAGTCGACGACCTAGCCCTTGTTGAAACCGAACCTCGGCATGTGACTGTACCTGGGTGAATTATAAAGTTTCACCAGCCTGAAATAAGGTGGTTTGGGGGCTGTTCCCCACATGAACCACCATTTGAATGTGAGGTCGTTGTAATTCACCCAGCTCTATGTGTGATTTCAGTCCATCTGAGTAATTGCGGGATAATAAGTGGAACAAGCTGGGTCAGACGCGTGCGCAGAAATTCTGAATCACACAATACGTGCCTCACCTGTGCTTCACATCAACAGCGACATATCCTTGGCTTCAACAAAGGCTCTGCACAAGAAGCAAGGAAAACAAACACGCCAGCGTAGCAAAGGCCCGCAGAAACTTTAACAACAAGGACGGACAACCGCATCACATTGCACTGCAGGTCTGCGTTCTAAGTGTGCATGGCCTTCGCGTAGAATGGGCAACAACTGTTCAGCTGCATATTCGGGAATCCTCACACCGAACTCCTGTGTTCGGATCAAGGGCTTGATGGTCTCGTCGATGCGCAGGCTGGAAACCATCTGAGCAACAGCGGCTGTTCTTGGAGAATGACACTGCATCACTCCCTGGAAGTACAATTGCGCAGGAGCGCACAGCCTGTCACAGGAGACACGCTTATGGGCCATCGGTTCTTAAAGAAGTGACAAACCGCTAAGCAAAAACAGCACAACTTTAATCTCAGCACGTACAAAATTGCCCTGTAAAAGTGCGATTGGTCTTCTTCCAGTTAAAGCCTGCAACTATCTGGGCAGCGATTTGCTGACCTCTTCATGCCAGCGTTGCCAACAGGCTCTAACCTCAAACACAATGCGCCGATACAGCTTACGTGGCAAGGCCAGGCCATGTTACAGATGATCTAGAATTGCAAGTTCCTTGTTTTATCATCGCCAGGAGTTATGTCTAAACAAGAGCAGCATTTAATTGCAACCCGACAACACTAGTCCCTACGGCCCATCGACGGAATTGAGATCCGAGGTGCCGCACCGATGATCGCACCGCTGTGGATCATGGGCCCTTCCTCGCACGGGCTCAACGGCTCAAGGCGCTCGATCAAAATACCTTGCGGTTACTGGTCATGTTTCCTTTTAGTCTCCGATTGAAACAACCTCAACAAGGGTACCCTCAAAACAATCACAGCCATATGTGAGCAGGGAAACCTGGTGTGACTACCATAAGTCGTGGAAAAATGTCTCACAAGCTGAAAGGGTGAACCGTTGTGTGCAACATAGGCAACACCGCGTTGAGTCGGAAGATTCCACAATGCGTCATGGAACAGGAAGGCCATGGCAAACGTTGCAATGCATTATTGCTGTATGAACAGACAATGAATATATCACAGACTGTCACACAGACGTGTCAGCATGCACACATAAGGGCAGGCCAAGGCTTTGCCGCGTCAAGCACAAAACTGTTGTTGCCTGAACATGCGGATTGGGGTATGTTGTGCAAATTATGTGTGCTTTCCAAACTTTGCCTGGATCCTCGTCTAGGGGGCCTGGAACTCTCTGCACCAGGATCGCCAACACAGATCCGATGCAAGGGAGGGTGACTGGGGCGTATGGGACATCGAGCCATTTCAACAACTCTGCCGCTCTCATCCGTTAAAGAACTGATCTCACAAAACACTGTCGATCCCTCTTCTAGGTCGCCATCATCCAATCGGCAAGAGTCACCCAAATTGCCTCTTCCCCGGAGACCCCGATGCCCGGATGCCTTGCCACAGGGCAAGCCTGCGCCGACGCTGAAGACAATTCCCACGGCCTTGGCGAGCAGCGTGTGGATGCCCACAACCTCAGCGCCAGGCGCAGCACAGCCCAGCCGCCAACTGCGTGTTGCTTACTGCGACGGTTCGATTTCTTTCGCTTCATTTCTCAAACATAATGTAACTCAGATCAAGAGTTGCAACTACACCCAATCGGTTGAAAGCGGCTTCTGCGCTTTCTTTGGAACAAATACCGGAGTAAGTATGTGCCAACGCCTTCCAGTGCCCAGTTACATTGTAGCGCGGGCACAGCCTTAAACGTTTCTAGACTTCCTGTGGGGTACTACAAGTTGTCAGGTTGGACGCTTGGAACCCCTGACGAGTGGATGCTTGAGTGGTCCGTGAGGGCACAAGAACATGCTTCCTTGACCTGCCAAGGTTCGCTGGGGAAGTCCACTCCATTGAGGTAGCACTTGATCCTCAGGCTGGCAAGGCGGCCACATGTCTGTCCAATGAAGGCCAGCGCCGTTGCCCGCGTGGCGCCGTAAAGTCTTAAAAAACTGGCCAGGCAGGTGACATCCTGGACTATTGCCCTAAAGAAACAAAGGCACACATATACAATGGCCTCAGCGCAATTTGTGAAAAACTGACGGTCAGCTCGTCAGCGGCCTTTTCTACTGCGCTCGCTTGGGCTCCCGCCCAGCGCCACAGAGGCTACAATCGTTTCAAATGCGTGAAGCATGTGTATCGTTTCACAGCGCTAAGCATCCAACCCCCACCAAAAAAAACTAAAATGGGCGGTGCACCTATCCAAAATGGTATCATTGGTTTTGAACCATGGCCAAATTCCTCGGCCCTTCGGGCCAACAAAAATACTCTGCATCAACCCCTTAGTCGCCCGACTCCAGCACTTGACCAAGCTTTCCATGGAGCTCTGACGCTTTGTCAGGCTTGCTGATCAGATCGAAAGGCGCCTGGGCATCTACCACCGCACGAGCTCAAAAGCTGTTCCTCGCTGTCAGCGCGCGCCAGCGCCAAATAGCCTCCAGCCCTCGCCACATTGGGGCAACATCTCAGCCGATCCAACCACTTGCTGCAGCATGCCGTCTTCCACATCAGCACATTGTTCGTGAAGGTGGCCACCCTGCGATCGGTTCTCCGCTGCATTGGCAACTCGCTTCTGTGACCACGTCCCGTCGCATATTCTCCAGCTTTTGAATCTGCAGAGACATCGCCGGCTTCTCTTGGTCTTCTTCACCGCCTTGTTCATGTCAATGGCACCCGCGATCGTCATCTTCTTCAGTTTGGATGAGAAGAGGGACGCAGCAGCCGGCAGCAGGACGTTCCTCCTTTGCCTTTTGATTAGTTCAGGCGTCCCACGCAGCAGTGCTTGATCGAACGCAGGAAAACACGCATGTTCGCCGTTGCTGCGTGCGCCTTGTTTTTCCTTTTTGCTTTTTCCGCTGCTTCAGCGCCGCAGCTGCCATGCGCTCAGACTCGGAAGCCACGTTGCCCCTGCCTGGCGCCAGCCGCGGTGACATGCGTGTTGCTGACAGCCCAGAGCTTTCCGACAGCCCGGAGCTGACAGGCAGCCAGCCCGACGCGCCGCGAAGATGCAGAAGCTTTGCTCGCCTTCAGTGTGGAAGTCATCGCAGGAGAGCTCGCTAGGCGTTTGCCTGCGCCTGTGGCGCCGGCCGGCCCTGAGCCCGAGGAGAGCCGCGGCCCTTGAAGCGCCTTCGGGGTAGTTTGCAGTTGGATCAATTGCGCGGCCAATTCCAGCGCCACGCCCGTTTGGACTTCCAATCGCGGTGCCGCAGTCTTTGCCAGTTTTGCACGGCGATCTGCTTGCTGCAGGTTCACACGAAGCAGGAGGCCTTTCCAGCTGATTGCTCGCAGCCTGTAGTGTTTCTGTGATGGTATTCTGGGCCTGCATTTGTGAGAAAACAACGCAGACTGCGGCGCTCGCTTTGGTTTTCACAGCGCATTGCTTTTGCAGATTGCCTTTGCAGATTGCTTTTGCAGATTGTTTTTTCCTTGTGTTGCGTTGCGGCCACGCAGTTGCATTCGCACTTGTAGGCTCCTTCGCTTTTGCGTTTGCCAGGCTTGGTCGCTACGCAGTGTTGCACATGCGCATGCGTCCGCTTTAAGGCTCGCAAGCGCCGCCGGCGCGCTAGCCGTGACACTCGCCATGGCCGAGCCTTTCAGGAACTATGGCGACTGGGTTGGCGGTCTCCCTTGGGCGTGCCTCGCTGGTCGGAGGCAGCCGCTCCGCGTCACTTTTCGGTGCGCAGGACATGTCGGGCCGCACGCCGGTGGCACCCCCCCTTTGGCACTCCGCCGGCCGCCCCCGCCGAGCCAGCCACATGGCCTGCCGGGGAATGCCAGCGCTGGAGGCCACGCTGCGCCAGTCGCGGAAACGGGTGCTGGAGATCTTCACCGACTTGGCTGAGTTCGGCGTGTTGCCCACCCCAGGCGGTGCCAGCCCAGGTTGCATGTGGGCTTGCATATATTTGTCCAATCTGATTTTGCGTTCGCACCATCACCACCAACTTTTGCTTCTTCGTGCGTTTGCGGCTTCATTTCCCGGAAGCTGGAGGCAGCGCGGAAGGCGCCAGGCACCCCGGCGCCAGCCAAGGGGCTGTGGCAGCCAAGGCGCCAGCTTCGGCCAGCTGAGCCAGCAACAGCACCCCAGCGCAGCCGAGGCGCCTAATGTCCAAATGGGATTAAAAAATGCACGCGTAATAAAGACTTCTCGGGGCCCAAAATAATTAGTAAATGCACCTGGATTAAAGACAAGCCCCTGCCCCCCCCACCCATGAAAAAAACAATCCCAAAAAAAAAGTCACAAAAAAGAAGAGAGCAAGAGAGAAAGGACAGGAAGGAGAGGAGAGATAGCCACCCCTGGTCCTTGGATCTTTGGCACCTTGCTCTTGGCACCTGCTTCTTTCCTCAACCACCAAAGGGGGTAGTACTTCAAGCCCCCAACTTTTAAGCCCAAGACTTTATTCCAGGGGCCCCTATAATAAAGTCTTGATGCATGGTCCCCCCTGAAAAATGCAACTTCCTAAATGCAGCTACCTCTTGGCTAACTATCTAGCCAACTTCAATCCCAGGTGATGCTGGTGAAGCTTCATGCTTTCTCCCAAAAAAACCAAACTGCAGACCTTGCCCAAACTCAAGTTTTCTTACATGTCTCTTGCTTAAAAACTGCCCGGAAGCCCACGCCAGTCATGGGAATAACCTTCCGGGAATAACCTTCCGCGTCAACCAGCGCTCCGTTCCCTTGACTTTCGCAAAGTGGTTCAAAGTAGGGCGTTCCTTCAAATGTTCGTGAAGTTCGTGATAGGACACAGGCACGCCGGAACAACTTCCAGTGGGCCCAGGCGCCGAAAACCTCGACATAGCTTTCTCGCCGTTTCGCCCTGCGGAATTGCACCTGTATCAATGTGTTGGCTTCATTCTTCTTGTTGAAATTCAACGGTGCATAGCATGCGCGCCAGGTATCGTGTAGTGTGTCGGATTTGCGCAAGTTTTGTGCTTACGTCATTTGCTTTTTGTCAGAGCTTGCCCCCCGTGAGCACCATTAGCCATCTCCCATTGCGGACTGTCACGAGCGACAGCCATCGTGCGCGGGAGTATGTGACGCAAAACATTATTGAGCCAGTGCGGCAACATTATTGTTTGTTGCGCTGGCATCACCTTGAACAGCAGTCGCTGTGAAGCGGATCCCATCCTTGGGCCCCGCCACGCATCAGTGACGCAATCCGAAACAACCCCCGCGAACTGCACATGATCCTTGAGTTTGACAAGGCTCAACGATGATCCGATACTTCTGTACAGACATCTTGAAAACTGAGTACAGTCCTTTGACCTGATTGCAGCCCAAGTAAAGACCTGGTTCGGTCTCAGGTTCAATCTCAAGCTGCGACCGAAGGAGGCCCCGTCCCTTGCTGACATAAGCGGATGGCTATTCCGCGCCCTGAGGTGGAAGGAAGCCCAAACGAGTCGAAAGTCACAGTCCGAAAGCGGCGTTTCCCGCAACTTCTGGCGGGCTCAAGAAGATGCCCACGTAGGAAAACAACGAAACAGAAACCCAAAACGAACACGAAGAAAAACCACAGCCGAAGAAAAGGGGGGGCTAAGAACGTGAGCAAAGGGTTGAACCCAAGCGGATCATTCCCTGAAACTACGGCGCAAGTCCTTCGGCTGGACCCAAAACAAGTCGCTGGAAAAGCACGGCGAGCCCCTTCCCTAGAAACGCGGAGGTGGCAAAATATAATCACGAATTCGCCTCCGGTTGCGAAATGTTGCGAAGCGAGGATTATTGGACGTCAGGCGCTCACGTAGATCAATCAAGGTGTCATTTTTGCTGCATCGTGGACAGAAATGCGTATGATATGGAATGGCATCGAAGATGGCAGTCAAGTTTCGCGATTTCGTGGCAACACCGTGTGACAGATCTGCCACCGTATCTGCCTCCCACCCGGCTATCTCAATGTCGTGTTTCTTGGACTGCAAAAATCACACCTGCCGGCCAAGCAACGCTTCTATGTTTCGACAGCGGACCTGAATCGGCTAACAAGGGTTCTATGACAAGCCTCATGGGCCGCCAAAGCCTCTTGGCATCAACCGGGCAATCTCCACATGTGAGACACAGGTGTCAAGTTTACAAGCAGGTCAGACGCGGCACACACCTGATCGATAATTAACCCAAAGTTTTCCAAGGGCCACTTCCAAGCGCTAACCACTGTGTCAAAGCATTCCAGGAGGTCACCCGTGGTCGGCGTTTATGGTTCTAGTCACGCAAATGTGCCGGAGGGGCAATTTAAGGGACCACGTCATTTCTTGAATTCCAACCTCTCCTTTTCTGAATTTCCAGGGCGCCGCCCGCCTGCGAGCGCCATCTTGAAAGCTGCGTTGTCAGTGAGCCGGTTTCCGCCACGGGCAGCCTCGCTGCATTCACGAGCACGCCGGTGTTCCAAGCGGTTGTCATGAAAAAAGTCCTCATGCTACCGCGAAAACGTAAGAAGTTTTCTGCGAGAGCTTCCTTGGCTTCAGTTGCGATTAGACACGCTCTGAACCGCGCAGCTCCCGTCGGTGTAAGTGGTCCAAGGGGAGGTATCTCTCAACTGGGCGAGGCAGCGGTATCTGATTCCTTAAGCGCGAATCACTGGCTCCATGGGTTTGCGAGAATGTGCGGGGATGCAATCACCCAAGGATACGGGGCAGGCGCCTCCTCAGCAGTACGCGAACGCTGGAACACTTTCAAACAACGCCATATACAATGCTCTATGTGCTGTCTTGTTGACACAGCGGACATTCAAATTTTTTCACTTTGCCATTGTTGTTTAAGTACCGGTCTGGTTGCCGCCTGTCTTACAGTCATTTGTTGAAGCTGCTGCGCAGTGGCAGTGGTGTAAGGTTTCGTAAGCCCTGCAGCGTCTTTTCGCTGCGAGGTGCGCTTTTGCACTAAGCTGGCCCATGCCTCCTTAATCTTCTTTAGATTTTTTACAGGGAGTTGTGAGAAAATTCCAATCATTCCCGGAATGATACGAAACTTGAAAGTCGGCTAGTGGCAGCCAGTGAAGACATCCCAGGAAATTTGCACATATGGAAGCAAGACCTCTGAACTTCCAGTTATCCTGATCGTGCTGGCGTACCATGTTCCAAAGGAACATTCATCGCGTTCAAGAGCACAAGCCGCGGGGTCAGTGGCGGCGCGATCTTGCGCTACGCTCTTGACATTGCACCCTTCTGTCTCTAGTGGCTGATGTCGTCCATTCTAAACCATCGGCGTAGCTGAAAGTTACAATTGGGGCCTCACATCGCCTTTCCATGGCGGGCTGCCAGGCACGTGCGAAGGCTACAGAGAAAGGACTTCCAGTTGTAGTGGCCCCTGCGGAATCACCTACTGACCTAGGACAAGAACTCGAAAACGGCTAGACCCAGCTTTCTCCGATGTTGTGTCTGGTTAGCGCCTAGCTTTTTGCTCATTTGGCTTGTTCTGACTTAGCTTTGCTCAATAGGATACAATAGTGGATGGGGGGGGCGCCACCGATCCAGCAAATGGAGTCGAAGATTGTCCATCTACCTGTTGCTGTATAAGGCAATACTGATCCTTCTAAGTCAGTGGGCTCTACCCCAACCTCTCAGACCACCCCCCGTCTCACAGCACGTGGGCAAACCCCTACGGCTGAAAACCTGAAAACCAAGTCTGTACTCGCGCGGTGTTCCGAAAAATGAAAGGGAATCGTGGTCGGGCGGCAAGCACGATTGATTTCTTCAATCACCATCTACCCTGGGTAATCCTTTGAAACCGACCTGGATTTTGGAATCCTAGTTAAAAGGGGTGACTTGGGCCCAATGTCGCCATGTGTCTGTTCATGTTGCTTTACATGTCACTTGGAGGGCGTTCACAGAAAGAACCTTGGCCGCGCCGCTCTCCACGATCTTCCGCCACGCTCTTTGTCCGCGCGACCCAGTCTGCCTCCTCGCCATCCGGAATCTCCCGCACATAGATCTCACCTTCTCCCCGTCGTTTGCCAGCCGTCGCAAAGATCTGGTTCACCAACACCTGCCTGGCCCATGGCATGTACGGCTTTTCCTTAAGATGGATCGAAGAGGAGTTGCGCGCTGGCTTCACATGGGTTGGTTTTCCCTCTTCGCGCCTCCTACACTGAGTGCTTTGGGCTCGGTATTCTCCGACTCCGTCTCATTGAAGCAGGGCTGCCAGGGTCCAGCGCTTCCGTGAGACGGGTATCCCATCCATCTCAGCAGTGACCTGCGCCGCCTCTTTTCTCCAACTAGGATTGCCACAAATTCAATCAGTGGGATATAGCGCTGTCGCTGTCTTCTGTTGGTCTTGTTGTACGTTCTGGGTGTTTGACCATGGTCCGCACCACGTATAAGCTCTTCTGCCTCTGGCTCTGGCTGAGACTTGGACTCCTCCTCGCTCTGCCGGCGGAAGTTGCGACTGATCTCCCTCTTCCACTGTCCATTTTGCCCGTCCTTCTTGACGCAGCTGGTCCACCTGAACACCTCTTGCACTCCAGCCTATTCCCGAAGATCGGCTTTGCGTGGCTCCTCTTCTCACTTTAGCGATTGCGCCCGCAGTTTGCTGAACTCCGCCTTGAACTCCGCAGTCTCGTCCTCAAAGGTTCTGAGCCACCTCCTCGGCCCAGCAAAATTCCCTCTACGACCTCCTCTCTGACGAGGTTCGCCGGGAAGAAGATGAGTGGGTCTGGGCCAAGGAGAGAGAATCAGAGCACCAGGTTCAAGAGTGTTCACTTCATGATCGTCAGAATCTGGCCGCGGGTAGGTGGCCACCTTGCCTGCTTTGCTGGAGAGTAAAGGCATATGTCCATGAGATTGGTCACAACGACGATCCAGCAGTTCATAAGCCATTTCGTAGGTTTCTGGTTGTGCCCGCGTTTAGACTGCCTTCTCGGAGTCCATCTTGCATGGTTCAGGACCTTGCCGAAAGCAGCGCAATCCGGGCTGAAACGGCGATCATATCGATTGCCCAACTCCTGTGGGTACACTTCTGCCAACTGCAAAGGTCTCCGTCACCTAGCTGAAGTTCTTCTTCAGCTCCCCCGTCACGTGGGAACAAGCGCATGAGATATGTGGCGGGCAAACTATGCAATGTGAGATGGAAAATGGGTCTGAGATTAAGGTGAAGTTTCAGGAGGACAAAACGCCGGTCTTGACAGAGGCCACGGACTAGGACAAAAACCAGGGCAAGGAGGTCGAGCCCAAGGTGATAAAGCTGAGTAAGCTGAGCACGTCGCGTTTTATCCTGGTAAACATTGGACAAGCCTGTCTCAATCTCCGGTATCCTTCCATATCTTGCAATCTTGCAAAGCCCAATTGAGAGCCATCCTGACACCCATTCGCAAAGGCCAACATACTGAACCGTCGAGGACGTTGCAGGAGCAGTTCCCTTCCGCAAGCAGCGCGCCGCAGCAAGTCTGGTTTTTTGCCAGCCATGAGTGAAGCTGCGTGTGAAAATGTTCTATTCAAGCAACCGTGCCCACAAAGCTGCGTGGGCAGTACTGCTGCGCCATTGATGCAATGTGTCAGCCACCGTTGTTCAAGAGAGGTGCTGCCCATCACGCGCAGCTTCTCATGGCGTTTCTTTTCTCCAAGCTGGGGCCAAGGCCAATTGAATTTGCACTATGACCCTTGATTTTTGGAGCATGTGCAAAGCACTCGGGCGGGAGCCCCCACGAGCGCCACGTTGGCAGCGGAGCCCTCGGAGGTGATCCAGGGGCGAGCCATGCCTAAGCCGTGCTGGGATGCGCCCATCATAAGTTTGGGCAATGTGAGACTTTGGGAGTTTGACACGGACCTTGGGCAGAGAAAGAGAGGAGGTCGCACCCGGTGGTTGATGCGACGGCTTTCGAGCAGGTGTGGCGCAAGAAGCCTTGAGGAAGCAACCTCGCCTGAAGTTGAGTCTTGATAAAACTGCCGAGTCGGGCGCAGGGGTACATCTACTAACGCCAGGCTGCGCTGACGCGGAACCAGCAGCTGCTCGCTACGTGGGCCAATAATCAATAGCACGTTTGCCGAGTTCAAAGCGCCTGGAAAAACACACGGCGGCCTGGAGAACGAGGGCCACAACGAGGACAACGATGAGCGCGCGCGCGCGTTGAAGAACCTTCCACGTACCTGGAAGCCCGCAGCGCGAAAGTGGCTTTAGCCCACCCAACCCCGCCACGCCTGCGTAGTGCTCCATGGGCGTCCTCTTCAGTTCGAATGAGTTGGGGTCGGGGTGGGGGAGGGGGCTGGTTAGAAGGAACCCTCGTCACCTGCGCGGCGGCCAGAGACATGTTTTCCTTAGAAGCCGCCGCGCCCAAGGCCTTGCAAACGGCCAGTGGTTCAGGGTATATATCAGCTCTTTAAACCAAGGCCTCGCAGATGGCCCGTGAATCAGCATATACATCAGGTCTTGCCGCATCTTAGTTTGCTGCTTCACAAGAGATGGCGGCAGTGCGGGAACCTCCCCGTGGTAATGGCACCAGTGCCAGCACAGGGGCTCTCCGGCCGGCGTTCTTATCCATGGCAGCGCAAAACAATCTGCCCGCACTGTGGGCTTTTATCTGACTTCACTAGATGCGGGCGCAGCGCTCGCTGGCGTGCGGGGCGCGTGCCGCAGCGGCACTCTTGCGATCCCGCGCGCCTCGGTTTTCACGTACTCTGCCTCGCTTCTTCAAGAGCGCCCGCAATCTTAGGGTCTCCATCGAGGTGCCCGGCCTGGTTGCAGGCGCCTTGTTGTCAAAACATGCAAGCTTCCTCAAAGCCTGACTGCAACAACGTAGTTGTGGGGAGGGTCCAAAACATGAACATGGCAGCACGCTTCCCAACACACGCTGGAGTTTGTAGCACGCGCGATGCGCGTTTTCAATTCTGTTGCGGGTTCCTGCGGACGTGCTGCGTTGAAAAAAGGAGCTGTACAGACCGTGAGCGAGGCGTGAGCGAGGAGGACGAAGTGAACGCGGCCCTCACCACGCACGAGCAGATCAAGTATGCGAAGTTGCTCCTGATCAACGTCGCTTGGAGAACCAGGACGGGATGCAGCATGGAGGACGTCCCTACACCTGGGAGCCATGCCAACGGATCTAGCAAGATGCGCGGTAGGAGCTGATGAGAGGTCCGGCGCCGTTGCTTCTGCCGATCATGCTGCTGCGCCCGGTTGGCGCACGTATCAATCCCGTCAACACAACCTTGAATTGCAAGTTGGAAGGCGGATCTTGGACTTCCATGGGCTGCTCAGTGGTGATGTGACAGTCGATGTGCTTGACTTTGCGTCCGGAGGTGTCAAGGTTCCGTCATGGCCATTGGTTACCAAGATGCAGAACTTCGGATTTCTGGAGTTTTGAGTTTTCCAAGGCCGGACACTTGGATAGAGACTCGCTGCTGCCCATGGGTTGAGATCGTCTGGTCAGCAACGTTTCTTTTGCAACATAAGCCGCATCTGTGGCAGGATGGCAAGGCAGTGCGCTGTAGCAATGAGAAGCAGCGCGCAAGCGCGAACAAAAAGCACCACCATCAACAAATTTAGCTTCAAGGGCTGCTTTGTCTTCCCGATTCGCACCTCCTGCAATGACACAGAGGTCAACCAAAGGCGGGATTGGCCCAACCCTCGCTTTGACCACTCGCCAATTTTCGGGAAGCAGCTCCGGGATGCCGCTGCCGGCTGCTAGCACCTCCACATAGCAAACCAGAATCCCAGCCACACCTCGGAGCGAGTTGGCGGGAGGCCGTGCTTTGGCCACGTGTTGGCCAAAACACAACATCGAATCTAGTCGCAAGCATGTCCCAGGCTGATAGGCAACATGATGGAGCCCTTGTTGAAACAGCACAGGTAGTTCATAACAGAATGCTGGATTTTTGGGAGTTGCAAAGACATAAACACTGAAAAAAACAAGAAGCTGGCCCAACGAGTTTAAACGCGCATGCAAAACGTTTGCTCCCCAAGCCAAGTGCCACATGTCACCCTTCAACTGTCTGGCCAACAAAGCCCCCCCTTTCTGGGAATGCGTCAATCTACCCTCCAATTGCCTCCGCGCCGTCCCCGCATGTCAATGGCCAACGGATTGAGTCTTGAGATTCTTTGGCGCAAAACGTCGGGGTAAAGCCTGCGTGCAGCTGCAGCGCTTGCAAGGGCCATGGCTGTGCCAACCCAGGCCAAATACCTGGGTCTCAACTGCGCGCTTGGGATACGAAAGACGTGCCTGAGACCCAAACAGTAACTTTGTTGGGATTGCTTTGGCAACCTTTGAAGGAAACCTACGTTTTGAGGGGTACATACATTTTCTCATGTGTATCTATGTAAAAAATGAATACGCATTTACACTTATGGTCTGTTTTCGGCATGTTGTTTTCAAGTTGCCTTTCAGATTGTTCTATCTCGTTTGGAGCTTTGGCGGCACGGCGCCCACGCAGACTGACTTACAACCACAACTAGGAACATGAAAGTGGTTGTTGGATGGCGCCTCGTTGGAGGCACGTGCTCGAGCGCTCAGTTTGGCAACTTATTGCTAGCGCTAGTGCGCGAAATTCAATATGACCATGCGTTATCGCGAACTCATACTATAGCCCCCGCTGCAAACTGTTCCCTTTCGCGTTGGGTTAGCTACATTCTAGCTGAGCCAACAAGCTTTTAACCGGCCAGCTTTTCAAGACAGCCCAGCTTTTTCCACCCAAGAACGGGCCGGAGATTCAGCAAACAGCCAACAACGAGTTCTTGATGTCGAGCACAGCGGTTGCGCCGCAGGGGTCTCATTGAACTCGAAAAGAAACCCATAAAAAACGCGCCGACCCGCTGAGCCGCAGCGTATGCACTCACTGCACTCACTGTAAAATGGACACGGCAGCAAGTTAAAAGAAGCATCACGAACTTGCTGCAGTTCTGAGTGCACGTGCTACACGCTAGCTCACGCGCAGGACAGCCAAGTGGCTGTTCAGGACAAACGAGCAGTGTAACAACACATTGATGGACATGAGCAACGGAATGGCTCAACGCTCGCAATATGTCAAAGCATAGGCTCCGAGCCAACGTGGGTTGCATGGTGGTTCGCGCTGCAAAGCAGTTCGAGACGTGTCCAAGACACTGTTGCTCACCTCTAAAAACAACGTCTGATTCATGGCACCTGTGCAATTCAGCGACACTCCGGTTCTCAAACTCATGCCAGCCGAGGCACTGCTTCCATACCTTGACTTGGCATCATGCTTCACAAGTGTGTGTTGTAGGATTTGTCTTGCGTCTCTTGCGCCATTTCTCTGCGCAACTTTCTTGCGCAATGTCCCAATTTATGTTGCGCGTTGCTTGTGAATCTGTTCTGGGCAAAGTCTTCGTCCTCTCGCTTCAGTTTGGGTTGGCCAAAGGCAATGGCTTACCAGGATCCGTCACGCGGTACGCCGGCCACAACCAAATTCCAATGTGTTTCCTCCAAAAGGCTGGCACCACACTCAAATACACCTCGTCGTTGATGCGCATCTTGATCTCGAAAACCTGCGAAAGTTGGGGGAACCTTCGCAGCTGTGGCGCAGCAACTCGGTACCCACACTACAAGCCAACTTAAGTACGCCGTAACACGGTTGGGTTTGTGCAGCAGGTTGTCTGGGGCGACTTTAGTGAGGATATCTACGCTTGTTGTTTTTTTGGTTGGCATGTCCAAAACCTGGTTTCGGAGACACATACAGCCCAAGGCAAACTGGAAAGCAATAAAAGCGCGGGCCTAGGGTTCACATTTCTATTTGACTACAGAAACTGAGACCTTGGTTGTTTTAGGTTGCGACGTCAGGCTTGTTTGCAGCAACTGTTTGCCACAAAAACTACGCCGTTCCGTCTTCGCAAGCAACTTTTCCAGCACCATCGACTGCACAGCTTGTCCACCAAAAAACCATTCTCTACAACTTGCATTCTGGCTGTCAGCACGAGGTTCTTCACCCATGCCCTGACAGTCACAAGCCTAGGACCCCACGTCGTCCTCCAAAACAAAACCAGCATTGAGGGAGTTAAATAACGCTCCGACGGCGCTGACAAACGCAGAAACGAGTCATCTGCACACACGCACCCCAAAGTGCTGCGCCTGCCACCCCGCCAAAGCCAGCTCCAGAAGCGAGCTCTTGCAGACGCAAAGTCTCTCGCCGGCACCCGATCAGCAGCGCGCGCGCTCTTGTGCGGGAGCAGTTACGTTCCCTCGTAAGCGCGTTCCGCAACTGCATCCTGGCCGCCTGCAAGGGTAGCCGGGGGCAGCTGCGTCCTGGCTGCTTGCTGGAAGGGCGGCTCGTCGGGAAGGAGGGCAGAAGAAGTGCCCTCATAGTTGGGTTGATGGGAAGGGGGGAAGCAGGCGCGTTCCCATAGCTGCGGGGTTGCAAGGGTTATTGAGAAAAAAGGGCAGGGGGTGGGGTAAGAGGAATGTGTCACAGGTCCCCTTCCTGCATATTTAGCGTATGTTTAGGCGTTGCTTACATATCCTAGTGATGTTAAATCCCCAGGTCTACAGAAATGCTGGAGCCAAGTTAACACTTGACATGATTTTTTGTAATATTTACACGCCTTAAATATTTCACATCCCCGGGCCCCGGCTCAAAGTAATTGTTTTTTTTAGCTGATTGGAGGCCTAAATATTTCAACTGTGTTAAATCCAAGGGCCCTGCTTTCAACTGTTCCGTTTTTCCGGCTCATTTGAGGACCAAACAAATTTAAAGTTTTAAATAATCAGCTCCCCGGGCCCCGCTTTTGAGGCGTAGTACACGTATTCAAGTACGACAAATTCCCCGGGAGCTGATTTCTGGAGCTGGGGGCCGATTTACAATTGAATATATCCTGGGCCGTGGTTTAAAAATAGTTGAGCTGGCTTGAAGTCTGAATAGTTGATTCCATTTTTGACACATTTAAACTGATTTGGGGCTTTTCGTTAAACAAACCTTAAGTATTTGAAGTCCCCGGGCCCTGGTTTAAGTGCTAAATATTTTTAACATGTTAAATCTCCGGGCCTCGGTTTAACATATTGAAAGTGTTGAAACTGGTTCGAGGCCGGAATATTTTCAATATGTTTAATTTCCGGGCCTGGATTCCTGGGGCTGGGGCCGGTTTAAAAGCTTTGCACATTTTGGTAGCATAAACATGTTAAATCCCGGGTCTTGATTTAACATATCAAGTTATTAAAACTGCACTGATTAAAGGCCTAGCTATTGTATATGTTTTAACCTCCGGGCCCTGGCTTCTGGAGCTGGGGCTGATTTAAGATTTGGCAAAATGCAAATATTTCAAAGCCCCGAGGCCAAGTTAAACTAGGTAAAATTTAAGATGAATTTGGGCCGAAATACTCGTAATACTTCACATAGTTGATATCCCCGGGCCCCGGCTTAAACATATTCAATATTATTAAACTGATTTAAGGCCAACGTATTTTGAATATATTGAATACCCGGGCCCTGATCTGAAAATTTGAACTGTTGACATATTTTCATTATTCTGAACATGTTAAATCCCCTCGGCCCGGTGTAAGATGTTTTACAATTTGAAATGGCTTTGACGCATGAATGCTTGATATATTTGAATATGAAGTCCCCGGGCCCTGATTTAACATGCTTAAGAACCATCTAAACTATTTACAGCATTCGAAATTTGGCTTTACAATAATTGAACTGTTTCGGGCATGTAAGCTTCAAATCAGCTTAAAGTTTTCATTTTTTCAAATCTCGGGAACCCAGGAATTGAGCCCGACATTTTTTCAACGCTTTAAATAATTGAAATATTGAACCAGGGCCCGGAGATTTAACATATTCAACATGCATAGAATTTTTAAGCCTTGGCTCAGTTTCAATCATTGATTATTTCAATTCAGGGACGGGGATTTACCATCTCTGAAATAAGAACATGTGTGCTTCAAATCAGCTTAAGTATTGCAACCGATTGCAATTGTTGAATATTTTGATATTACAACTAGCTAAAACGTTTTAAGCCGGGGCCCGGGGATGTAAATTATTTAAGATAGTTTGGCCTCAAACCAGAATCAGCTTACATACTTTACAATGTCAAATCCCGGGAACCCATCGTCTGAGCCCCAGGCCCTGATTTCTTGAGCTGGGGCCGATTTCACATTCTAGGTGTTTTAAATACTCAAGCTAAATGTATGGAATATCTCAGACTCCGGGGCCCCGATTTGGAATATTCAAGATATGTATACTAATGTGGGCCTACCTTCAGGAAACACATTTAAAAATATTGTAATTCCCCGGGCCCTGGTTTCCGGAGCTGGGGCTGGTACCTTGACTGATTGGAGGCCAGAATTACCTACACGTTCTTCATATCTTGAACTCGAGCTGGGGCCGACTTAAGCTTGTAAACGCTGTAAACGTGTTGAATTCTAAATCCTCGTTTAAGACATATCAAAATCATCCAGTTAATTGACATGGTTCAAACATATCTGTTTAGAACATGAACCTGGAGCTTCCCAAAAGGCACCCGTCCCTTTGAACAAGTGTTTGGGCAAACGTAGAATATTGACAGAGCCCCCGCGAGCAAAGCAGTTTGCACAAATTGTGAATCTTGCGCTCGCCAAGGGCGCCCGCCCATGTGGTAATACTTAGGTTTTAACAGAAAGCGTGAATCTGAAATTCCGCCGAAGGGGGCGGGCTGTCCGGAAAAAATCCGTAATGAGAGGGCTTCATGATCTGGAATTTGCAAAAGACATGCATCCGTCATGACTATTGCTACAGCCAAAAGCGGTCGTGGAGCCAAAAAGCACCGGCCCGTTTGAGAAGCAGTTGTGAAATATGATAAATTGAATAGTTAGCACACGCAAATCTTGAACTCCCCAAAAACGCACCCGTCGCATTCGGAGCAGTTCCAATATTAGAAGACATGGCATTCTCCCAAAAGCAGCCGCCTCTTTAGAAATAATTTCCAGCGTTGAGTAACTAGATGGGATACTTAGATCACCATGAACCTGACCTTTTCCCGTGGCACCTTGCCTTTGCAGAAAACAACAAAGGATCGAATGGGTAACATAATTTGAAAGGCGCAGCCTTAGCTTTATTCGGTACTTGCTCTGTTCATTTTGCAGACCATGAATGAATCGGGATTCCCTAAAAGGCAGACGTCCCTTGAGGGAAAAAAGCGAACAACATAGTACTTTGTAATACACCTCTTAACCACATTTCCAAAAGTTCTACCCGATCAGAATAATTAGGCAAATCAGGCATTGTGTGTTTTCGAAGTGTTCTCGTGTCACCAAAATCTGGATGAAGTAGAGCAACTCCACTTAGGGTAGTTATCAAACAATGAACCTTGAACTCCCCAAGACACCTCGCCCCTTTGGGCATGGCTAGAACAATGCAAATGATTGTAAGAATATAATATTTGGATTGGAACATGAGTCTTGGTTTTCCCCAAGGGGCGGGGGCGGGGGCCCAGTGATGTTTGACGTGGGCTTTAATCTCTGCGAGAATCGAAAAAAAGATAGCGGGGGGGCCGTCCCGCCTTCATGATGCGATCAGATCAGCTGATGATTCAGCAAAGGGTGCAGTATGGAACACGTACATCGCTGCTCAAATCTTCAGAGCCAAACGTGCAACCAAAAGTGTCGAGATATAAAACTCTATGGCGATATAAGGAGATATAAGCAAATGCAGAAATATATTTGCGTAAATATAAACATACCAAAGTCAAATAAACTCACACTCCCGAATTCAGTTTATACCCCTTTGATGTTCTCCATACTCGAGAATGGGTATGACTGATTTTTGTAAAAAGTATCAAGAATGTTATATCGAAGCCGGATACAGGCGTAGCGATCACGGCGGGCGAAACCAGCCAGGGGGGGGGGTTGTGGAGGGGGGGGGGCAGTTCCTTGCACGACGTTTCGAGGGTTCAATCCTGGTTCAATCAGTCCTTAAACGATGCAAGGATTCCATGCTCTGGTTTCGATCTTCGAGCCTTGCGGAAACGCAAACCAAAGGAGTATGTGCACCGTGGACCCATTGAATACAAGAAGCCAGTACCACGTTACGGAAAAGCCAATTGAGTCACGCGCCAGACTGAGTGAAATGCTTTCTGAAGTCTTCGGCGAGTTGACTTTTGTTGACCACGGGGATGCTGAGTTCAATCTCAAATCTCCGCACGCTAGCAATGAAGAGGTAAACTGACTTTTTCTCATCATTCTGGAAACAGCTACTTCGACGACTACTGCTTTTCCTGTTACAGGCACAAATGCAAAAGAAACTGTTCTGAAGTTCGAGTGTTTTGAGACGTATCAACTGAGCCCGAAATCTCTTGTGAAGGGCCAAGCCTTCATGCAACCACTGTTGAGAAGTAGTATCACAAAGTACGTCAGGCCTATTGCAGAAGGGCCAAGGAGACCTTGGCCGAACCGAGCGGACTTTGCCGTTCAATTATTCAAGCGTCACACGGAGCTTGCGCTTGACGCGGTTCAAGCTGATTCTTCCTTGGCTGGTGTTACATAGCCGCTGGCTATTTGCCAAGCGTGTGCGGCACGTAAT